GGCGGGGTGCGGTGGGGCAGGCAGATCTCGCATGCAAACAGCCCCGAGCGCTGACCCCCAACACCACGGACCCCATGGCACTTCACTTCGCGTGCAAAGTGCAGTAGTGTCGGATTAGGCAGACGTCGCTGCCCGGGGGCTTAAGTCAGTGACGACAACCTGGTGTCTGACGGGCTGGGCTGGCAACCAGCCACGCGTTGCAGGGCCGCGCCGGGCCACGCAGTCCTGCAGAGGGTTGGGATGAGCAGCGCAGCTAAAAAGGAACTGAGCTTTCTCCACGTTATGGTAGGCTGCCTACCCTCGGAGCGCGGCGGGGGGCGGGGCGGGGCGGGAGTGTGCTCGGTGCAAAATGTACAAAGAACGCGTGCGATACGTCTGCAGGCTTGCTAGTCTCAATTAGGCCATTATTGGTTAATTTACACCCCGTTCCGTTCTGCCAGGTTCCAGTTCCAGGTGCTTCCAGGAGGGCTACCCACATCCGCTCCAAGTCGTCTACCACACCACAGGTTGAGCACTTGCAACACTTCCACCAAAACACACAGGTATGACACAAAACACTGCCGGTTAACACGAAAACTTTACAGGACTCGGAAAAGGGGCAACTACCGTTAAATACAAATCGTCGTCTTGCATTTGAACCGCAACCAGACCAAATCAAACCTCAATGCCGGTCAGGTGGTGTTGTTTGTTCCTTTTTGGTTGCAATCCATCCCACTATGTGCCAAATTTAACAAACGTGACAATGATGTACTGCGTATAGACAAGTAAACTCGAATCTCCAACACCTCCACAATAATTATCTACAATTGCCGCGTGCAAATGCAGTCGGGTGCGTGCAGTGCCGTGCACGCAGTGCGGGACGTGCAGCCACCGCACTCACCGCTGGCCGGGGCGGTCACCTCCGCCTCGTCGCGGTCCTGGGCGGCCTCCTGCTGGCTGCCCTCCTGGAGGGCGGCGGCGGCCTGGGCGGCGGCGTAGTGACTGTTGGCGATGATCTCCGCGGCGGCCGCAGAGCACTGCGACTGCACCCCGCCGACTGCGGGACCAGGAGACACACACGCGGCGCGGAGCTCAGCGACGCGTCCGCAGCGCCCGAGTCCGCTCAGCAGGCCGCTCAGCAGGCCGCTCAGCAGGCGCAGCAGGACGGCGGGCCGCAGCCAGAGGACCCAGGGCTCAGCCAGGGCTTGAGCCTACATCCCACTCACACGCGCGCACTCTCGGACACACACAGACACACACACACTCGCGAGCGCACACACCCACGCCACGGCCGAAGTGCTCGCGGGCTGGACGACGCTCACGCCGCGACGCTCTCCTGCGGAGTGCAGCAGCCGGGGGAGCCGCGGCCGGGGCGCGCCGGGCTGGTGGCGCCTCG